ACATATTGATGATAAGATCAGAAAAAAAGATAAGATTTGGAATCATAACATGGTGTGCTGCTGCTGGCTCATACTGGCATCTCTTCCCTGCTCTGTGTTCAGTGATGCTGGAAGCCTGAAACGGGCCACAGCTGGGGGTATGGACACCACAGCAATTGGCAAGTGCTACAAATGAAGGGGTTCTATTTTCCAGGGAGGTGGTTAACAGTGTACCACTGGATATACAATATGACTCTGTGGTTTTGGTTTTTTTGGGGGGGGTAATTAGGTTTATTTATTTATTTAATGGAGGTACTGGGGATTGAACCCAGGACCTCATGCATGCTAGGTACGCGCTCTACCACTGAGCTAAACCCTCCCCCCAATTCCGGTTGTGTTTTTAAAAAATGTTTCACAGATCAAAAAGATCACAAGGGAATACAACAAAACATTAATGATCATTGTCTCTCAGTGGTAGGGCTGTGGGACTAGAAGTAATTGGTTTTTAGTCTTTCTATTTTTCTGAATTTTTATCATTTTCTGTCCTGAGCTTATGAGAGCTTTTATAGTAATTTTTAAAAAATTAAAAACAGTTCTGTTCTCGATCCCTAGAAGAGGAGCGCTTTATCTTAGAAAGCCCTGGCCCCACGTGGCCCAGCCAAGCCAGTGGGGCTGCGGTCACTGTTAAGTCCCATTCCTCGGACCAACAGGTCTTGAATCATCCAGATGGACAAGGGGTAGCCCGACAGAAGGAGACTGTTCTCAGCTACCCACGATGGTGGGATGGAGGAGCCCATGGTTACAACACTATGGATGGTCCAGTTGGATGGGATGGGCCCCAAACTATTCCAGCTGAGGGAGTGTGGTGGGAGCTGTGGGGTGGGGGGATGTGTGGCCTGAACTGTGAATTCTGGTCCTTGGATCAGGATCCAGTCCGAAGCTGAACTGAGGTTCTCAAGTGACTCTGAGAGAGAGTGAGCTAGATTCCTGCAGAGAGAAAAAGACCCATATGGTCAGGGATGGTGGTACCTCTGCCCCTGGGACCACCTAATGTGCACAGGACCAATCCAGCAGTGCCCTGGACTCAGGAGGTTACTGATGGACGGAGTAGCTCCCAGCTCCCTGGGGTCTCCTGGTGCCAGGAAGACACTAAGGGACTCTGAGAAAGGTCCACACTTGACCCAGGAAAGCCCTGACTCTCAGGGGAGCATGTACATGGTGAGAACCCCAGGGAGAACACTGGTTCATGGCTGGGCTGCAAGGCCCGGATGTGGGATGACGGGGTTGTTCTGGACGGGGACCTCGTCCTGATGCACTACAATGATGATTTCTGTCTCATCAGTCACTTTATTCATCGCCAGTGAAAACACCAGCGGGGTTATTTCTGTCAGCAGTGGTGGGAGACGCTCATTCCCAAACATCTGTTCTGCAAGCACCCACAGCAGGTGCTCAGGCCACGTCTGCTGATTAATGCCCTAAATGACGCCATGGGGTTTCTTCTTGAGGAGATGAAAAATTCCAAAGTCAGCACCGAGCAGAAAATCAAATGCAGTCAATATCATCCTTGAAAATCCTTTAAATCATCCTTAAAACTCCATGACCACATGACCACCTGGGTCTTGTGAAGATCACATACAGGAATGAACTCCCTTTTGTTTTTCTTACATGCCAGCCAGCTGTGGTCCTTTTTTTTTTTTTTAAACTTGGAGCAGTCAGTGAAGGTCAAGGTCAAATTTGATGTGTGTGTGTGTGTGTGTGTGTGTGTGCTGGCAGGGGGGTAGCGGGGGAGTGGGGCGGGGGAAGTGATGTTCTTTTTCTCTCTCTTCCTCTTTTTCTGAGTTTCCTAGCCGTAGGTGCATTTTTAAATGAGTCTGCAGTACAGAAAAATAAGCATTACTAGAGAGAGAGCTACAGTGTCAAAGGAAGGCTGAGGACTAATTATCCTAGAGCCAAGAACAAGGAAAAGCTTCTGGCTGAAGACCTCCTTTGCAACAAATAGAGCCGACGGTACTGTTCTTAGAGCCAGAAACTCTGAAGACTAGTCTAAAGTTAAACACACACATAGACACACAGACACACACAGACACACAGACACACAAACACACACACAAGACAATCTTAATACGGTCCTAGATGGGGAGATTCTAGGCAGGCCCGGTTTACTCCCCTCTCCCCATTCTCAGCATTTTAGGAGACAAATCCATTCATTCCATACCTCTATCCTGAAGTTAAATTGGAGGCCGGCGGTAAATGCAGCATCTCAGGAGGTCTCCATGGCAACAGTTCCAACACAGAAGAACCCACAGGGTTTGGACATCCCAGTCTAGACCAGAAGGAAAAAAGGGATGTTGGCATGGAGGGCAAGTACTCATCTGGACTTCCCAGCTTGGTCCAGAGCACACATCACTGTCTGACATACTGTGTCCTTTACCTGTTTAAGTTTATTGCTTACTGGCTCTCTTTCTCTGCCCACAAGTGAGCACAGTAGGCACTTAGAAACATTTGCTGAATGGCTGGTGGTTTCCACTAGGGATAACTAAAAAATAATTCAAGAGGCAAATCTGCCTGGGAAGGAAAGGGGAGAAATGGCAAAGTCTGTAATGGTTCATTTAATCCACTGGTTTTCAAACTGCTCTCTGGGGCCCCAGGGACTTCTCTTACTCTGGCGGGCAAGAGAAGATACACTGGGGAGCCACCAATGGCCCACCTCCAAATTTTAACAGTAAATGAGCCAGCAATGGCAATTCTGGCTACATACTCCAAGGAATTGAAAGCAGGGCCTCCAAAAGATATTTGTACACTCATGTTCATAGCAGCAGTATTCACCATAGTTAAAAGGTGGAGGCAACCCAACTGTCTACTGATGGATGAATGGATAAACAAAATGTGTTATATACACACAATGGAATATTAGTCACTCTCAAAAAGGAAGGCAATTCTGACACATTACAAGATGAATGAACCTTGAGAACACACTCTAAATGAAATCAACCAGTCACAGAAAGACAAACTCTGTATGATTCCACTTATATGAGACACTTAGAGCAATCAACATCATAGAGGCAGAAAGTAGGATGGCGGTTGCCAGAGGCTGGTGGTTGGGGGAATGGGGAGTTGTTGTTTAGTGGGTACAGAATTTCAAATTCGCAAGTTGAAATGCTCTGGAGGTTGCACAACGGTGATTACACCTAAAGCTACTGAACTGTACACTTAAAAATGGTTAAGATGGTAAATTTTACGTTATGTGTATTTTATCACAATTTAAAAATTTTTAATTAAGAAAATCAGAACGGCAAATGCTTGGTAAATGTTAGCCATGTGCCACTCCTTTTCCACGCACCGTCTCATTTTCTCCCAATAATCCTATAAGGTAGGTGTTATTATCTCTGTTTTACAGATACAGACAGAGTAGTCCTGAGAAATGGAGGTCAGGGTCACTGGATAAGTGATGTGGGATTTAAACTTGCACCTGGGTCTGAGCCCAGAGGCAGCCATCTTAACTATGATGCCCCACTGCTCCTCTTTGGTCTAGTTCATATACACTGAGGTAGCCCAGAAGATTTCAAACCACCAAATTAGAATCTCACTAGCTCCATCCGTCCCAGGCTAACACCCTGTAACTGAGCAGGACCCTATGGGGCCTTCCTGCGACAGACCCTCCGCCTATGTCCTCTGCCTGCCTCTTGTTCATAGAAAAACTCTAGTCTCCCAGGCCTCCCCTGAGCCACAAAAGCCTGGCTCAAGAATTAATGACTGAAAGGATGTGAACATGTAGTGACAAAAGAAGCAGTCAGCCCAGGAGTTGGTAACAATTTAAGGAGTACATCGGAACAAAGCACAGAATCTTTAGTTCCTTTCTGAAGTACTTAGATAACAGTATCTGATGTGCATTTCTTAGTTGTTTTACGGATGCTAAAACCCCCACCAAATGGAAGATGTTAACTACTTGACCATGAGCATGTAGTCCCCAGACCGACTGGAGCCTGAGGATTGATAATGTTAACCCCTGTGACACCACCCTGTCACCTCACTGTCAACCAGTCAGAGAACTGTGCACAAGCTGACCACACACTCTGTGACTTCCCTCTCTCACCTGGCCTTAAAAAATGCTTCCCTGAAACTTCTCAGGGAGTTTGCGTTTTTTTTGAGCATTGGCTGCCCTGGACTCCTTGTCTGATGCCTTACAATAAACGCTGCACTTTCCTTCACCACAACCCGGTGTCAGTAGGTTGGCTTCACTGCGCATGGGTGAATGGACCCAAGTTTGCTTCAGTAACAATCCCACTTTTCAGCCAGCCCCAGGCACCTGTGGGATGGGCCTAATCTCCTCTAGCTTTATTTTCCTCCACTCCCCTTCTCCCAGCCAGTCTTCACCCAAGCTGAACTGTCCGCTGCTTCCAGCCCACGTTGGGTTTCCCACCTCAGGTCTGCACTCATGTGAGTTTTCTCTCCATGCGGGTCCCCATGTCCAAATGGGGCCCTTCTTCAAACGTACAGTTTAAACATAAAATCATTTCCTGTGGGCTTACTTTCTTGGTCCCATTCCAGCCTCACAACAACTTCACGAGGAAGAGACTAACACTGTCCCCATCTTACAGATGAGAAAACTGAGGCCCACCGAGGTGAGAGCCACACAGCTGGCAAATGGCAGGACCAGGACATCCCCCATCGCCCCGGTCCAGGCGTGTGTGACTTTAAACCCAAGTTCTTCTCCACTTTACTAAAGGATCTCAGGGGCTGCCATGAGGCTTCTGGGAATTGTCCAGCCCCCCAGGCTTTGGGCTGCCTCACCTCCTCTCAGGTATAAGGGCGGTGCCTCTCTCCGACAAGGAGGGTCAGGGTGGGAGTGGATGATGCTCAGGACATCGGGGCTTCCCCTGCCTCCCCAGCAGAGTCCTTTCCTTATTCATTCAGGTCTATGACAGCACGTGCCAGAACGCCCCGCTCCCACCAGACCCTGTGTGACTTTTATCGAATTTGCTACCACTTGGCAATGAATTACAGGTTTGCTTGTTTGTGGTCTGTCTTTGTCACTAGAGAAAGCTCCTTGATGGCAGTGGCTTTTGTGTCACTTTCCCTGATGTCTCCTAGAACAGCGTCCTTCTAAAAGAACAGGTGAAAGAATGAATGAATAGCTACCCCCACAACTAAGCAATGATGTCAGCGTTATTTTTTTTGGATGACGGACAATCCAGTTTCATATAAAGCAAGGTCCTCATATTTGCTCAACAACTACTTCTAAAGGCAGATTTCATTTCTGAGCAAATTCAGACCAGCCCTGGAAGTCATGGTAGGGTGGTGACAGGGTACAGGTAGAAATTAATCCTAGTGATATCTTAAGTGTATAATTTTCCATCTGGAGCTAAACCTCCCATGTACCCGGGGGTGTCTTATGGCCTGGGGAACTTGGAATGCAAGTCCAGGTTGGGCTCAGAGCTGAAGGTAGAGGAGGTGTTAACCTGGGAATAGCGAGATAAGGGGGGTAGGTCTAGAAGAGCCATGCAAAGGCCCTGAGGAGGGAGGGAGAAGCGTGCCTGAGCACAGAGGGCTACAGACAAAGTGGTCTGAGATGCAGCCGGAGGAGTAGGCCAGGTGTTGTTGGGACCCAGGCCGCAGGGCCTTATGGTCCATGTTAAGGTTTCTGTTCTTTAAGAAAGTGGGATGCCACAGCAGGCTTTTAAGCAGAGGGTGTTAACAATCAGATCGGTCTGGCTGCCGAGAGGAGGGTGGCTAAAGTGGCAAGTGGATTGGATCCTCTCTCCAGCCCTGTTCTGCCCGCTGTAAAATCTTCAAGGCAGTGAGGCCCCCATCTTATCTGTAGCCCCCAGTTGAAAACATACGGCAGTGTTCACAAAACATTCAGGCCATAGAGGACACAATGATAAAGCTCCTAATGACATTTTTCATGTCCCACATGTGTGGGCCCTGGAGGCTGATCCAGCCCCTGTAGCCTGGTGGTACCAGTTCAGGGAGAGAAATTCTCTAGGCTCTGACCTTGATGTACCTCCCCCAACCTCAACCAGGATAGCACTTGTCTCATTAACTGCTGCCCCTCAGTGCCTAAACAGTGCACACGCTGCTATGTGCTCACCCACTCAGTCAACTGTGCCTATCCAACCGCTCCTGGGCCTTGGACTTAAAAAGCCAAAAGCCTCCCAGCCTGGCAGCTCTGCACAGGGCCCTCCTTGGAGACAGGTGTTTTACTGATGAGGAAACTGAAGCAAAGACCGGTCATGTAGTTCATCCAAGATGACTCAGTTAGGAAACTGCAAAGCTAGGACCTGAGCCACATCTGTCTGATGCAGTACATGTGGCCACAAGGCTTATAAAAGCTCAAATGCTGCCAGTGACACCAGCATTTCATTTCCCGAGAGCTGGAGCCGGGCAGGGAGCGTTGGGCTTCTCGTCTTGAACTCAGCCACTCTCCTGCCTCTTACATGTCTTGATCGAGAGCAGTCACAGGTCATCAACAGGGTCACTGGAGCCTCTAAATCAAGATGCTCTAAATAAATACTCTACCCTTGCTTATGCCTGCTTTGGCAAGGCCTCAGATATGGGCCACACTCTGGATCCTGCTTTACCGCTTACGAAGCATTTCGGCATGGTATTATGACCCCCCTTTATATGATAAGAAAACAGAGGCCCAGAGAGGTAGAATGACATACCCAAGGTCACACAGCTAGGTTTCCAGGCTCTGAGGTCACTTTAAGGCTTCCTTTGGCCCACTCTCAACCCACCTAGCCTCTTGCCCCCAAATCCCTGGGGAGTTGGGCTGGGGTGGGGGCTGCTGGAGCTCAGGCTGACAGAGCATCTCAAACAAGGCCAAAAAAGGGCTGAAGGCTCAGAGGATTTGAGGCTGCAAGGTTTAATCTCTCTCGGCCCTCTTTCCATACCTCAAAGTTGGGAAGGTTCCAATAGTCTCTCCTCTCTGCCCAGCTCTTCCCTGTACCCCGCCACCCCAGGCTGAAGGGCAGTGTTTTCTTCCACTCACTGGAATGTACCACCCCAATCCCCTCACCTCCTCCAGGGCAGCACCTATCTGGTTGACTGCTGTACCTTCAGTGCCTAAACAGTGCACAAGCTGGCACACGGTAGGTGTTCAATAAATATTTGTTGAACGAATGAATGGATGGATGTCCCCAAAGCTTAAATGGGTTTCATGTTTCTGCCATGCAATGAACATCGAGTTAGGGAAAAGAGAACTAACCGTGCAGACTCCTGCTCTGTGTTAGGCAGTCGTCTCTAGACCAAGGCCTGGGGTCTGGCCCAGCTGTGCTCCTGACGCCCTGTGCCACCCCATGGGGAGCAGAGAAGGGGACCCCGCAGGCTCTGGAGCCAGGTCCCCCACATTCTT